TACAGGCTGCTACATTTCCCCCCCTTTTTATATACAAACAAAATAACTTTTAATGTGGTCAGAGCAGTTCTTCCTGTTATCTAGCCCTTTTCTTTCTAGGGAAAAGATGGTAATTATCAGAGTTCAGAATTCCAGGTATGGGCTCTTTAAGTGAGGAAGCCCAATACAGCTGTAAACTATTAGCCGCTGCTAGAGGAAAATGATTGTGATGTTAATTCCCTTAAAGGTCTTTTATAAATGGAGAAAACTGAAATCTTTCCTGATAGAATTTATCATTTCTTTAACTGTAGGAACTTTCCTTTGATAGTTACTTAACGGAGGAACAAAAAATAACGCTTTCCTTGCAATCTTTGCAAGCAGAGGATTTTTCTCTCGCTATTCGAAAGGTTTTGCTACTCGAGGTACTGAAATCCACCCTTCACAGATCGCAAAAGACTGTTACTCGTGGATTAATGGTTCCACACTTGGCAGTTCCTCTCATGGAACTGTTACTCGTGGTCCAAAAAGTACCACCCTTCACAATTCCTTGATAGCAGACTTTTTCCTGCTTTCAAGCTGCTTTTCCAGCGAAATTTTTGCTAATTGATTCAGACTCCTTTTTTTCAAATGGAGCTCCCTAGCACAAAGGTGGCTTAACTTTTACTCTTCCCTTTGTTCTCACCTCTCATCTTCCAAAGGCTTCACTTCCTCTTTGGGCTGTGTCCAGTCTCCTTAGCTGGACCCAGTTGTAGTGCACAGACACTGATGAGAGGTCGGTTACCCCTTCACCACGCAGGATAACCTAGTATTCCACAAACACGTAATCTAATTATTCTCCATTGTCATCCATTGGTCTGGTTTAATTTCCCATTTTACACTAAGGCACCACAGGTCTAACCAAGCTGGCAGAGTGCTCCCATGGCATAGAATTGAATTATACTGTTTTTTCTGAGAATGGTTTGAAATGAAAATATTAAACTTTTTTCTTTCATTTACCAGTGGGTCCTGATTCTAGCCCAACTGATAATTTCCCTATCCATCTTCTATCAAGTTGATAACAGCATTTGTTTGGCCCAATGAAAGCTTTTTTTATACTTGGGACATACACCTGGAGGTTTACATGCTCTTTGTTCCTTTTAGCAGTCAACGTTCTTTTCCCTTTTAAACACTTCTCTTACGGCCTAGCTTCCCACATTTATGGCATTTGATGTTAACTGGGGGATTTACCCTATGATCTTCCAGCTGCCCAATTTGAGACGTCAATATAGCATTTACCTGCTTCTACTATAAGATTCATCTGATCTCTCAACTGTATTTCAACTACTGTATCTCATTTGCCATGATTTTTCTCTACTGGTTTTTTTCTTTTGGCCTTTTACAATCTTTCCCTTTCAATTCTTAGAAACTTTGGCTGCCTTAAAGAGACAGGAGCTCTTTAGCTGTTTCTTTTTACTCTGGAGTCTTGTTTTACAAAACTTTACTTCCACTATTTCTTCACCAGCCTCAATCTACCTCAATTCTTTTTTTAAACAGAACTCTTAACTGCCAAAAAGGGGATTTGGGCGTCGGTCTCTCTCGAAAGCTACTTCCTGCTGGCATTGGGCGAAGGTATTAGGGGAAGGCAGTTAGAAGTTCTCTTCCCTAACTTAATAAACTCTTGCAACCTGTTCCCAAACTTTTCTCTTTGCTGGTTTACCGAAGGCTTTTCTCACCCTTGAGGCTAAACGGCTTGTTTACTAAAGATTCTTATCATCTCCTAGGTCTAGCCTTTCTCTTTCCCTCTTGTTTAGAGGCTTTTTTCTGTTTTTCTCCAGCCACTTCACAGAAGAGGCTGAAGGATTTCACCAGCTTTTTTCCCCACAGAAGTAGTAGTTAGAATTTGGAAAGAGAAAACGCAGGAAAGAAGAGGAAAAAACCGAATGAGAAAGGCCTGCTGTTGGCTGTCTTTCTTAGATATTTCCTTTCCCTCTAAGCATTTCTATTTCTCTTTTCTTCTTATTTTGCTAAAGCTTATTTCCCCCTCGGTCCATGTTCACTGAATCCTGCTCACAGCACCATTTGTCAGTGGCATTCACTATCCCACTTCTGACACCACTTGTCAGGGCCTAGGACTGACCAGGTCTCGGGCCCGGCTCAGGTAGGTTCTGGCCACAGACCACTAAGCTACCTTGCTCAGGAACAGTTTCTCTTAGGTGCTTGAGGACTATCTACTTTAGCTGGAGCGAGGGGGAGAGGGAGAGAGGGAGAGAGGGAGAGAGGGAGAGAGAGGGAGAGAGGGGGAGAGAGAGAGAGAGAGAGAGAGAGAG